CAACAAAAAAAAAAACACTCTTACCGCCACTGCGTCCTGCAGAGACTGAGCCTGACACGGCCAGCTCAGGTGACCTTGGACTCCCAGAACATGACTGTGGAGGTCTGTGGAAAGTCTTAAGACGTCGGGAAGTTGGATGGCCAGCTGCAAGTCGTGCAAAAGCTCTCCAGCTGGGTAGGACCGGGTAGGACATTCATGCATGACAGGTTGGAGAGGGCGCTGAGCGGAAGACATGCGTGAAGTTGCCGAAAGGCGTGGCTTGGGCAGAAAAACTGACGGAAAAGAGCTTGCATGCTTCAAAGCAGATATATCACGGATGCAGCTACAGACAAGGTGGTGTAGAGCGACCGTAGCCCTAAGCCCTTCTATAAGTCTTTGTGGCTTGTCACTGGCGCCGAGGAGACTCCGCTGCGACTGGGCGTGTATGTTTACAAAGCCGGCGAGGTGGCCTTGAAGGACACCTCCGACTGCGCTGAAAGGCCTTTGGAAGTGAGTGAACCGGCTTCCCCTTTATCCGCATCCTCCTCCCCACTACAGAGCCAGACACCATGTGAGTAACAGGACCCGGCCGCTCGCACTGTAGCTTTGTCGACAGTTCGAATTGCCGGATGTCCGGGTGATAGTTTGTTCCCCCAGCGATTCAGTACGTCCCTGCATCACAGTGGGCGTCTGTTTGCAAGCGATGCCATGCAAAATGGCTGCACCAGCATGTGCCGAAGTGGCCAGAAGTTTCAACACTTGGATTGGCCGAGCTGCGGCGGAAAACGGAAGATGGCACTACATTTCTGTCCGTGGTGCCGAATGCCTCGTAGCTTTGTGGATGTAAGCTTGAGTGGATGCCATCGCCCACAAGGCCTTGTCGTTTATCCTTAGTTTGGGCGTTGATGCTTGCATAGAGACCTGTAGGCCAGCATGCAACAGGCATTGATGCACGGGTACTTCTTTAGGGCCTCTCCGTGAAGCGAGCACCTGCAGCTTTGTTTCTGAGAGTGACTTAGAGTCAGAATGGGCAAGGGCCATTGCTCAGCAGGGACAAGCCGGCCCCTTCTAAGCGACGTGGTAGGAATAACTGCCACTCCAGGCATCCCCAATCCCTTAGCAGTCAAAGCACGAATCGGCCAATCAACTCGGACCTTGATCATGAAATGATGATGCTGGACTTGGCGCTCCCATGTGTGATCTCGAGACTGCTCGCGCGGCTTGGCAACACTGGGAGAGGAGAGCCCGTCTGGAGTCTGCAAGAAGGGGACTCGAGAAGTTGACAGAGTCAGAGGGGAGCGGCTCCGTCGAAAGGACTGGAAAGAAGCTCACCCTTAGCAAGTGCTTTAACCAAAACTTGTGAGAGAAATTTCGAGAAGGCCACCACGGCAGCCGACCAATCCGAAGTGACCGAGAGTGCATAGCAAGCCGTTGCAGAGGGCCGAGGGGAGCAGTCGCTCCAACAGGATGGAAAAGTTAAACACTACAAACTTTAATGAAGTGCATGAACCTATTGGCGGCAAGCCGTCCGAGCAGAATTAGGTGTGGTGAGACAAGCGGGCACTTCGCACGTACGGGACAACAGAAGGCTAAGAGTGGGGGGCAGACCTTTCGGGAGGCGTGAACAGAACCAAGGGCAACTTTCCGCTCGAACACTGCTCGAGAAGTCGAGACAGATTTTAAGCAGGCTAGACTGTCGCTCAAACTTGCAAGGCCTTAAGCTGAGACCGTCTCCCACTGCAGAAAGTGTTCTGATGAGCCGAGGAGAAGGCCAGAGACCTCCATGGCTCTGCGAGGGAGCGCCTTGCACACATTGGCCTCCTTTTTTTTTTCGGGACTGAGCACTGAGTGTTGCTTTGGTGCTGTTGTCTCAGCACTCTTCTGGCTCGACTTATCACGAGAGGGCAGACAGTACGTAGCCTGACGAAATGGCATTTTTGCATCACTTCGGCCCTGCGCGGAAAAGGGCCCAATGGTACAGAAGGGCCCGAACGTCGACGTTTGAGAGAAGTTTCAAGCAGTCCTACAGTAGCTCTGCCAGAGAGAGACATGCCGCAGGTGGCTGCGAAAGATGCCCGAGGATGTTCGAGCGGATCGTCAGGCCCAGCTGGGTTTCATCGTTTTGCCGCCAGATTCTGATTCAAGTCATTTTTGGAAAAGCTTTGCTTGTGAGAAAACGTCCCTTTCACACAACACCCCAATGCCAGCAAGCGTTGCACATGTTCGCCAATGAGCTAGGTGGTGCTCACCATCGTCCAGAAGGCCTGCCGAACACGACAGAAGCAAAACATGGCTCGCTCTGTTGGCCCATCGTGTGAGAGAGAGTATTGGGAGCACCCAAACAGGATGGCCTGGCATTGGAATGGGCAGCACGAGCTCTCCAATCAGACAAGGACTTGGCTTCACGGGTCAGCCTTGCACTTGAGATTTTTTCACCTACGAAGGCAAAACCTAATGGAAGCCGTGGTCTGCGTGCTGTGGCTTGCAAAATAAACGATCTCAGAACATAACTAGCAGACTACTGCTGCTAGCAGTTTTCAGGGTTGTGCCGCACAATGCCACAATAATGACCAGTGGACTCCCCGCTGCACAGAGCTGGGTGGAGTTGGGATCCAGCCCCTTTCAAGCAGCTTTTGTTCATGGCCACCGCAAGGTGTAGGCGTATGAAATCTTGTGCGAACCAGGAGGTGGTGCTGGCTGCTGTGAAGAGCCTCCGTCAGCAGTGCGACTCTACAGCTCGTGCGCAGCGTCAGCTCCAACTTTCTGCCATAATTGCTGCCACGCACCTGATGCATCCTGTGCCATTACACCGAGGAAGGGTGCGTTCGCCCTGCAGTTCGCCAGCCCTTCCCTGCTCCGGGACCGCCTTTTCGTGTTGGCAGCTGTGCAATGCAACGGCTCCGTGGTATGATTTTACGTGAGTTTTGCACCGAAGCGCGTATTGTCGGGACAGCGGTGAATCGGGGATACATGCTGGGCGTGGGAAGCTGTTGGGACGACCGCGTGCTGACGCCTTCTCGTTTTCGATCTTAAGTTGATTCCTCGCAGTGGCATCTTTTGGACACCTTGCTCATCCATGCTCGAAGCTGGCAAGACTTGGCTTGAATAGTATGTACTGTAGCACAGGTCAAGTTGCCAAGCCCAAGGGTGAAGAAACAAGCACCCAGGGAAGGCACATGCTTTCCTGATTATGTTGACTCACTTGACGTCAGCTTAAAGCTCCCTAGGTCCTAGGTGCAGGGGTTTCGGGGTTTAGGGGTCAGAGGTTTAGGGTTGTGGGGCGACAGGGCCCCAAGCAAAGCATGCAAGATCCCTGACGAATGCGGTTAAACTCTCTGTCTAAGTCGGGGACACTTAGTCATCTTACTCTTGAGACAATCACATTCCGCTATACACTGAACAACATTGGACATACAGTCGTCACCCAAGGGTGTTTCCATGCCTTTGCTGGCTGTCCGCCATGTATGCAGAGTCTAAGGTTAGAAGAAGGGTTGAGGCTTCAGGGTTTAGGGTGTTGGCAGTCATCAAGTCCGGTTTCAAAAGGTTAGAAGTATGGGCCCTATTCTGGACCCTTAGGCCTTTCTAGGGACCCTTAAGGGTACCTACAGGGTATATACTAGGTGTATAAGTCTGTGTCTGTATCTGTATAACGATCAAGGATCCCAGGGTTAAGGGCCCATACTAGGGGCCATTGTCTCAACTCTGTCTGAAACTACCTAAACCCTAAACCCTAAACGGGCGGGGGGATGTGTGACAAGCTCCAGGCTACGCCTTGGCCTGCGCTGGGAAATTCCAAGGGGATCGCGAGATCGTGCAGACTGCTGTTCGCGAGGACAGGTTCGGTCCAGAAGCTACCGTAAGCCAGGAGAGTGTTTGTTGGATGCAAAGCACACGACTGTATTTTGCCTGTGAGGCAGGTGTATTTACTGTTTTTGAGCATGTGCATCTGCGCATATGTCGTATGATGATTCTTGCATGTATGTAGTGTATGTCCGTGTGTGCCGGATGCTTCTGTGTGCACACGTCGCCGCGCAGGTATTCATGGATGATGCTGATGAGAAGAAATGTTATATGATATGCTGTTACAGGTCATGCCTCCCTGTATTTCCAGCTTTTGCGTGTTTCGTGGCCGGGTGTGAAGGACGGCAGTGCCTTGGAATATGCCTCCGATGCACTGAAACGTGCTTGGGCCAGGTTTGAGCATTGCGGGGGCAGGGAGGGCAGAATGCTTTATTTAGCTACTGCCATGAGGGCTGATAACGTGACGAGTCAGGCAGAGGAATGCTCAGCATCCCCTAAGGAGACCGGGAAATCGCATTGACTGCGGCTCGATGGAGTGATGCAGCACTGGAGTACGTCGCTGAGTCCCTGTGGCAAGACCGGAACTTTACACGTGCCGTGTTGGAGAGGAATGACGCTGCTTGGGAGTACGATGCTTGGCCATGTCAGCACCGGTCAGGTTTTCTAAAAACCCCAATGGGAGCCGGAAAGATGAAAGGGCAGTTCGAGGTTAGGGGTAAGAATGAAGACACATTCTCACTTGCTAGCCGCTAGCCGAGAGCGAGTGCTGAGGGTTTGCAGCAAGTGCAGCCTGAGGCGTCGGAGAAGTTGCAGGCCGACCGCCGGTTTCTGCTAGAGGTCCTTCAACTCAATCCAGGCCCGACCGCTGCAATTCGTCCCGTTTGTTGGTGGGGCTTGCTTGCGGCACCGAGCTCGACATGTAGAGCACAGCTCACGACCCTTTCAGCCCTTGTTTCATTGATACTGCACTGGCAGCTCCATACGAGATGAGCCGAGTCTGAGCCTTCGAGGCATCTTCCGCCGCCTTCAACCAGGCCAGGCTGATGCTGAGCTGGGAGCCCGGTGGGGTTCTGTTAGCGGCCAGCTGTGGGAGCTCTGCGAAAAAAACTAGGACTGCAGCATGGCGATGACAACTTCAGATTGCCTGACCAGAACTAGCTTTGCACAGCCATTCACAATGCCGAGTTGACAGCGTAAAAATGAGGATGCACCCCGTGGCATTGTCGTACAGTCGTACTGCGTGGATCAAACCATTCCGGACGGAGTGGGTTTCGTGATGTGCCGTACCAGCCGAAAAAAGCTTTCTCAGACAACCGCTTGAGTGAGAAAATGTTTTCACACTGAGCTGCCACACCCCAAGGCTGATCCTCAAAGTCATCAAAGCCACACCTGCAGCCTTTGAGCATCTTCCGGCAGAGATGCGGGACGACCAGGAATTTCTGCTGCCACTCGGCTCTAATTCGCAGGAGCTGGAGGTACTACCTGGCAGTGGAGTCATCTAACGAAAAAATTGCACAACCCATGCCTGAAGTCATGCCACCGCTTCAGGCGAGCGTTCGCAGCAAACTGCCAGGCCTGCTTTGTGAAGCGCGGGCTTTCATGTATACTCGTACTTGTAAGGAGGGCGGCTCACCCGTAACAGGTTCCAGACTAATGAAGAGTGCTTCCGAACTTTCTGTGTCGATGCGCTCGCTTCAGACCGTGCACTCGTCAAGCTGCTCTCCGGCCCTCAGGTTGTGGAGTACGTGCCATCATCGGTATTCGCGGATAACGCCTTCTTACTTCGCGCAGTGGAGCTTGAGCCAAAGGTGCTTGCAAGCTCCTCGCGCGAAGCTTCTCGGAGTTGAATGTTGCACCGCTTCCATGGATGTCTTCGCTTTGTTGAGGTGTTGTCCGTCATGTCTAGAAATGGGAACCCCCGCCCACTCAGCTCGACTAGAGCACGACATGTGAAGTGATCGCGGCTCTTAGGCTCGCGGAAGCAAGGATATCGTCACCAAAGCTGTGCAGCGAAATCCTGCAGCATTGCAGCATGCGTCAGACTCGCTCCGGATGAGTGAAAAGTTCGTCCTCTCGCTCGTAAAGAAGGATGCGGTTTGCCTGCAGTACTGCAGCGACGAGCTTCGATGTCATGAGGGCTTCAATTTGGAAGCAATCTCGAAGAATCCCGAAGCACGTCATTACATCCGTGCAGAGCTCTGGCAAGACGAAGAGTTTGTGCTTGAGGCGCTGTCAATCGAAGTTTCCGTGTTGGAACATGTGCCTGAAAGTGTTCTTTGCAATCGGGCCATCGCTTTGAAGGCAGTGGAGACCACAGGGCAAGCATTAAAATACTTGGATTTGGGCTTCCGCGATGACCGACAAGTTGTCTTGACTGCTGTGGAAGATGACCCGTCCGCCCTTGCATTTGCTTCCGAGCGGCTCCGGGCAGACACTGGGCTCTTCCGTGCATCACTCAAAGTCGACGGCCTGGCTCTAGAACACGCGGACAGCTGCCTTCAGGACGATCCCACTTGGGTACGCGAGGCCACGCAGGCTGGACCCAACCGTGCGGCAGCTCCAGATTTGTGCCCATTCCGTTTCGCTTCCAAACGCATACGCCAGGATCCGGACTTTGTTTGGGAAGTAAGTGCTGCAGTGGGTGCTGTGGTTCTGGCACACTCGCCTCTTCGCGGTGACGCGCAGTTCGTATCTCGGTTGACGCAAAGGATCCCCGAGGCCATCCAGTACGCTGACGAGAAGTTGCTTGATGATCTCCCCTATTTGCTGTCAATCATTCGGCAGTCCCCTGCAGTACTGAGCTTCGTGCCGGAAGAACTGCGAGCCAGCGCGTCTTTCGTACTGGCATCGGTTCGTGGCAACGGGGCTGCCTTAGACTATGCTCCCAGGCGCTTCCAAACGGAGCCAGAGTTCTTGCGAGCTGCTGACTCTGCTTTTCCTAGCAGGCATCCTTTGGATCACGATGCCTTAGAGAAGCGAGGTATCCCCTTGGCACGGCTGGGCGGGGCTGCCGCATTGTCGGCTTTTCATGCTGGTAATCGCATTGCACAAGAATGGGACCGACTGGATCGCCTCAGCCCCCGTGGCTTGAGGGACGAGTGTGAAATCCTAGGACTGCCTGGAGCTGCTTGCTTGGAGTGGTATGGGCCCTCCTTCCTGCTGATTCGTTTCAAGAAGGTGTGCATTTGGCGAGAAATGCAGCTGCAGGAACTGAAGGCGGAGAGTGATGCAAAGGGCCTGAGAAAGGCCCAGCGGCCTGTAGGACGCGCCGACTCGCACACGCACCCTCAGGGGCCCGATCCCACTGTGAGTCTCCACGTGGGAGCCTGCATCTCGGTGTCTCGGCTTAAAACTTGAAGAGTACTACAGGCATGTCTGACATCTACCGGGAATCCATATACCTAGGCGACTCACTAGGCATGGAGCTAGGAATTGCCGAAAGGCGATAGCCACTGCAGCTTGAGGGCACCGCCCTTTGCCGAAGATACAGACCATGTTGTGACGGGGTTTCTAGAAATCAATCAGGTAATCCAGGATGTCTACAGCGTCAGCAACCTGAAGCTGAAGTCTGGGCTTCAGGGCACAGTGGTCAGCATCGACAAAGGTGCTGCTTGGAGCTTGCAGGGGTGCTGGATGCTGGAGTGACGCAAGTAAAGTGGCAATCCCTTCCTGATGCCTGCGAGGTGGTGATGCCAGGATTGATTTCAACATCGAAACCTTCGCTGGCGGCCTGAATGCGACCCAGTGGGTTTACAAGAAGGCAGCTTGCAGCACGACGCTGGCTTTCATATTGAAGGTGATCGAATCCAGCCTGAAAGGACTTCGACAAGCTGAGCGTGGATAAGGACGATGAGCTCCTGAACAGCATGCTCAACGAACTGACAGTGGACCAGTTTGCTGGTCTTTACGACGCTTGCCGAACTATTTTCCCTCTCAGTCCATCTCGCTCCTCCGGAGCTCTTGTTGAGTCTTTACAGGCTAAAGACAAAAACAGTGTAGCGAGGACGTTTTGTCATGCCTGCATGGTACAGTAGCAGAAAGTTCTTGCGACGAATGCCAGCAGCACAGACTCGGCAGAATACGTTAAAGGTGGGGAGGGTTGTGCCGCAAATGGCTGGAAGGCATGGCCGGAAGCAGCTGAAGTTCTAGAACTTGCTAGCCGCATAGCTACCAGCTCCGCTAACGGGTTTAGGGTTTGGGGTTTAGGGCCGTGCTGCACTTGCCTTGCCGGACATGCAAGGAGCGCTCTGGTGTCCCTGTCCGTGATCTGGGCTCGTTCGCGGCGGCCAACGCGGTTACGGAGCGATGGGATGTGGATCGGCTGAATGGTAGTTAAGGTGCGCCTATTTGCCATTCGATGTGACAGGATACACTTGTTTGTGTTTACTTTGTGGCCAGGGACCAGGGGAATCGCACAATGCGATTGACACTGCCGGATATAGACAGGCAATTAACATGTAGCACTGCGTTATGTGTGCATCTCTGTGTGCGGTCCGCGCCCGCATGTCATTCCCAGGTTTCCTTACACAGGTCGATTGGTTGTGGACAGGATTGTGCGAACTTGCTGTATGTAGACTGTCTGACTGTAGAAGTGCAAGCTGAGGTGTTGGCCAAAATGAGCGCCAACGAGCTTGCCCTGGAATTCACCAGGCAGCCCTTGCCGAACTTACAACCGACACAACAGAGCTCTCTCCGTTCATCTTTCCGCTCTGATAGTGAGGAGTGAGGACGGTGAGTTGAATGAACACGGTCCGTCGAGAGTCTGCAACTTTCGGTGCTGCACAGATCCGGCACCCTGTTTCTTTGGAATACCTGTAAAATATCAGCACCTCGGCCTAGTCCATCGCTCCTCCATTGATCGATCTCCGTCACGATCAGTTTGGGAAGGAGGCAGGGCTGACGGCGTTCCGCCTCACTCGGTGCCCCGGCCGACACCGTAGCACGGCTGACCACTCCAACTGCTAGCCGCGCTAGCCCATTGTTTCCTAGCAGGTCGTATAGTATTTACTGGTTGAAAGGCTGCATTCATGCGCTAGACGCCCATTTCTGACAAATTAAGTCTGTTTCATGGGAGGCTAGTGGGCATCGAGCCAGACTCCAATGTCGAACTCGAACCTTGGATCGAACAGTCGCTCTTGACATTTGAGGCTTTCCTGGTCTTTTCTGTAGGACCAGCTATGCCGGTACACCCCTCGACAAACTGGCTGAGGGCTCCCGAGCCAGGAATCATCGAAAGGACTCTACAACCTGCCAAGGAAGATTTGATTGCAGGGTGCCCCTAAACCCTTTTGGCTCAAGCCATTTTGGCTCGAAAGAACCACAAAACTCACCAGGGCTCTGAGGTCTCCAAAGGTTGCACCCATGTTCTGTGCCTTGACCTGGGTTCTTCTTCCCGTGGCGGTCGCTGCAATCTCTGACCCGGATTGGGAGGCCTTCAAGCAGAAGTTCCAGAAGAGCTATTCCAACACGGACGAGGAGTCGGCCCGCTACCAGCTCTTCAAGGCCACGCAGGAACGTGTGGATCGCCTGAACAAGCTCAATGGCGAGCCCGCCTTCGGCATCACCTGGATGGCTGATCGTCATGAGCAAGAGAAGTACAAGAGGGGCTTTCGGATGCCCA